CATATGGCATCATGGTTCTACATATTGCAGCAAACCCGTATATACCACTCGGTACATATACTGGCCCACCATGGTTCTACATATCAGGCAGAGTGGTATATACTACTTGGTACATATACCGGTCCACCAGAGTTCTATGTATCATGCAGGCAAAATATACCATACTCAGTACATATACCATTGTGCTAGGTTACCAACACGCAAACCACCACGAACCAGGAGATCCACTTCCAAAACAAAGCTTACCATCCGGTTCTACCACGTGTCCATCGCCTTCAATTCTTGCCCCATACCCCTCGCATGTTGCTCCCTACCAAAAACCTGCTACTCATCTTTTTCTTCCTTCCCTTCTCATCCTCCTCTTCTTCCTCCATTGCCACCTCCCCTCCCCTTTTTCTTCACCGCAACCTCTCTTCCCTGTCTTCTCCGCAGCAGACTCCCCTCCTGTTCTTCTCCTTTTTACCATTGTATGTTCTGACATACCATGTGTCAACATGCCAAAATAGAACAAACCCGTATGGGTCCACCAATGGATCGACACAGGTCCAGTACCCAAAATTAAAATCATTATGTGACATGATACAAAAAAAGAAAATCTGACAATACCTTCAATTTCTGATTCAGTGACCTAAAATTGATTTTCAACCTAAAAGTTAAACTCAAACGGTAAGGAGTTGGAGAATTCTCCTAATGGCATAAGAACAATAGGTTTACTTTCAGCACAAGAATTCCAAAGTTCAATGGCTAACCATTGGCCAATGGGTTACAAATTTCAATTGCCACACCAAGGATTGTTCTTAGCTAGCAGATCTCATCAACAAAAAGAAGAATCTCATTCAGGAAGGACTAATTCCAAACAAACATCATTTTGTTGCTCAAGCATAGAGATCATAACATATAGTGAAACCTTCCCACAAAATGTTTTAAAACAAGGTTCTACGGTGTAGAAAATGGAACCCCTACTGAAAAAATCATAGAAAGGCACTACAGAATCCATCTATACGTGTCTGTGCATCTGATGTACTTTCATCCATCATATATTACAACTGAAACAAGGAAATCACTTGTTAATATTCAAAAGACATGTTTCATCAAAGAATAAAGAAAAGTCCATTTGACTAATCAGCCACCTACATCCTCATGCGAGAAAACAAATCAATTTGATAATCAAAGAAGCATTCGACAAGAACCATGAAACCTAACAATTTCTTAGCCTGAAATTCATTAGAAGCCTTAATAAGAAGGAAGAACGCCAACAAAACCACGACAAAATTGTCACAATAGGAAGCACAGAATGAAATAATCTCACCTCTCCTAAAGGAGCACAACCTAAACAAAGAACAATAAGGGAAAAATTATCAAAATCAACAACTTCTCAACCCTAAACTCAAAAAAAGCCCTGAAACTTGCCCAAGAACATCATAACAAAGAATAGCAACAAGGTCAGGGCCAAAAGAAAGAATCACAGGGGAAAACTTCCACAAGAACAACAGAACAAAGAACCACAACCAGATCATGACCTAAACAACGAATAGTAGGACAATTTAATAAAAATAAACAAATTCTCAACCCTATATTCACAGAGAAAAAAACCTGAAAAATTGGGAAAAACATCATAATAAAGAAATGCAACCAAATCACGACCTAAACAAATAATCCTGGGAAAAAATTATACAAATCAACAAGTTATCAACCTAAATTCACCAAAAAAATGAAAATATGGGAACAAACATCATGATAAAGAAAAGAAACCAAGTCAGGACCCATGCAAAGAATCATAGGGAAGAAATTATAAGAATTCTCAATCCTAAACTCACATAAAGCCCCAAAAAATTGGACTCGCATCAAAGAAGCGCAACCAATATCACGACCAAAACAAAGAAACATAGGAAATTCAACAATTTCTCAAACCTAAATTCACAAAAAAAGAAACCTGAAAACTTGGGAAAGAACATTACAACAAAGAAATGCAACCAAATCGTGATCTAAACAAAGAATCCTAGGAAAAAATTATAAAAATCAACAAGTTATCAACCTAAATTCACAAAAAAAAGAAGAGAAAGAAAACCTGAAAACATGGGAAAGAAAATCACGATAAAGAAATGCAGCCAAGTCACCAAACAAAGAATCATAGTAAAGAAATCATAAAAATCGACAATTCTCAATCATAGATTCACAAAATCCCCAAGGGCTCACACCAAAGAAGCAGCAACCAAGTCACTACCAAAACAAAGAATCATAGGAAAAAAGAATGACAAAAACCACCAAATTCTCAACACTAGTTCCACAAAAAGCGCAGGAAATTTGAACAAGAACAGAACCACAAGAGAGAGACACCAAATCACTACCAAAACAAAAAATCCTGGTGGAAAAATTGTAAAATTCAATGTATTGTGAACCCTAAATTCACAGAAATTCCCCAAAGCTTGGGCAAGAACATCATAACAATCAGGCACAACAAATCGCAATTAAACAATTAAGAAATAGGAAACGACCGATGAGATTATCAAGAATTTTCACCTCCACATGCCTCGACCGAAGAAATCTTAAGAGCACGAACGAGAACGCGTAAGATGGGATTCGAGGAAGGGAGGGCCATTTTTATTGGATGCGGATGAAGGCCCGAAGACATATTGGATTCTATCCGCCCGAAGACATATTGGATTCGGGTCTTACCCGCATCCTCTTCATCCGCAACCCCGCCTCTTCTTTGCCTCCGACCTTACTAGGGCAGGGGGAGCCTCTCCAGTCCCCGCGGCGGAGGGTAGTGACGGATGCGGCGAACGGCAGGCAGCCTTCTCTGGTGCCAAATTTAGTAAGTGATTCAGTTTCTTGGAAATTAGTTGAAGAATTTAACGGGAAAAGAGATGAATTTGGATGACGGTGAATGGCAGTAGAGAGTAGAGAGTGGCAATTTTTGTGGGCAACCTTTTGACCTCTCTTCTTTTATCTGCGTCTAGGGCAAAGTTCTTGTGTTTGGATGGCGAATCTTGGTAAAAGAGTAGACATTGAGAATCTTCTTTCGCTTGGAGACGATCTGCTTGGGGTTCTGAAGAATAAGAAGGATGTCGATGGCCTGATGCAGTCTTTGGAAGGGGCGAAGCTGCTTCACTTCTCATGTAGTTCTGATTCCAATAACACTGGGAAATGGATAGAAGGTTAGGTTTTCCTTCACCTTTTTATGTACACCTTAATCGTATCTTAGGACAGATTCAAAAAGATTGAGACCACATTTAGATTGCTTGATGAAACTACATTGCGGCGCATCCGTACTCCCGTATAATTCGTGGAATCACATCTTAGTAGGTTTTAGTTATCTTAATCTGTCTTGTGGTATATTAAAACCATCATGATCTCTACTGCAAGTTGTGATAGTCGAGGAATGAATTGTTCCGAAGACACCATAGCAATTTATTTTCTCACTTATTTGAATACATTTGATTAGTTTAGGTGGTTATTTTGCATATGTCTACCACATGGAAACATCTAGAATAATTCTATTCTAGTTTCTTAGATTACTGAAAAAAAAAAAAAAAATCAAATGTGAAAATAATGGAAGAATCATATCTTTATTGTGATTGAAGATCAAAAATTCTGATCGAAGATATTACAAATAAGATTTATTTTCTCACTTATTTGAATACATTTGATTAGTTTAGGGGGTTATTTTGCATATGTCATAAGTTACCACATGGAAACATCTAGAATAATTCTATTCTAGTTTCTTAGATTACTGAAAAAAAAAAATCAAATGTGAAAATAATGGAAGAATCATATCTTTATTGTGATTGAAGATCAAAAATTCTGATCGAAGATATTACAAATAAGATTTATTTTCTCACTTATTTGAATACATTTGATTAGTTTAGGGGGTTATTTTGCATATGTCATAAGTTACCACATGGAAACATCTAGAATAATTCTATTCTAGTTTCTTTGACTACTGAAAAAAAAAATCAAGTGTAGAAATAATGGAAGAATCATATCATTATTGTGATTGAAGATATTACAAATATTTGTCGCTACCAAGATGGAAGGCTATCATCGAAAGAAGAAGATTATCTTCTTCGAACAAGGAAAAAAACAAATGATTTATTTGATTTAATTTAATTATGTATATTTTTCTATATATATATATTTTTTGTACTTGGACCTATAAAAAGGGTTGAAACAGAGGATCATTGGAGAATGAATGTGCGAGACCTTCATCATGGAACTCTTAACTGTGTTTCAAGAACAAATTTGCGAGACCAAAGATCAAATTTCCTCTTTCATGTGATTGAATGGAACACTCAAGAATCCCTTTGATGACGGTCTAATGGAGCTGTGTGAAGCTTAAACTGTCATGTTTTCATTTGAAAAGGAAGCTCTCATTGTGAACTTTGTATTGGCAAAGTTCATATTGAGTTATATACACTGACAACGAGAAATGAGAACCATTAAGGTTATGTTTCATCAGCTTTTCTCAGATGGATTTTATTTGTTAATGGTTAAGGTTCTCAAAATTTTAAGCTCTTTAGACAAGGTTCTGATACCACAACAAAGTGATTTTTATCTTTGCTTCAATATGATGTTACACTGCAGACTGCCAGAACAAGATACAAGCATGTGAAGAGAAGATTGACAGGTCAAAAGATGAAACATCCTATGATTCTGAACTGGATCATCTTCAACATGAATTGGATGAGAAATTGCAAGAGGAACATATGCTACAGAAAGAACTAAGATAAGTCTTGGTTATTTCAGTTTGTCTGTATTTTAAAAATATGATCTAGTTGTGGAATAGCACATATTAGACTATTGCTCATGTACCTTCTATGTGATTCGACACAGCAGTTCAGGATGAACTCATTGATTTAGAGCATCAGAGAGTTTCTATTGAAGATCGAAGAGTGATGATCAAGAAAACAGAAAAAGATCTGATAAGGGCACGGTAAGGATATACATTACTTCATTTTATTTCATACTAGGACTTATTCATAAATTGCTATTTAATGCATATATTCTTAGATTGCCAGCATGGATCCTGAGTTTTCAATTCAGCTGGCTCATTAACTATGACTACAAAATTTAGCCACGTTAACAACTTGTAAACTAAAGATTATTCAGTGGAAGTACCTGCTTTCTATTCACCAACTAAAATCAGAACAGTCTGGAAGAGTAGTTATTCATTTGTTAGTAGTTTTGCACTTCTCTTGTTTGTATAAGTTGACTGTCGACTTTAAATATTGTGTCAAATTTCAGTGTGTAAAGGAAAATGTTAGTTATGTAGATGATGGTTGAACAGATATGGAACGGCAAAGCATTATCAAGAACAATATTGATGTCTCTTGTATATTGAGTTTCTGGAAAAGGAATGGTTATACAGACATTTTTTATTGTACTAACAAATTTTACAGGTTTGGCAATAGTATATGACAGATATGATCCAACACAAAACATAGTCAGTGAGAAGACCCAGAGAAGGAAAATTTGTAAGGCCGCATGAAGAGTATAGTATCTACTGGAAGATGGATGACGAGCTTGCAGCTCGAGTAGTTAAGAAAAAGATTCAGCATAGGAAGGGAAAGGGACATAACTAATCAAGGTTCTGATCAAAGCATTACATGAATATGCAGATGAATCAGATTAAGAGAAAGCACATGAAGATTTAACCTGTCAAGTGGGAATAAGACCTTTGATTTGTTAATTAGAACAATAGTTGAAGCCTTGTGACTAATATGCTTGGAGGATATCGTATATTTTAATTAAAAGACTGAAACTTTTTGTTTTCTTTTTACAGAAATTGTCTTTCCATGTGTGCATCAGTGACGAACATCATCCCAGATTTTGAAGATTGGACCAGAATTTCTGGCAGTATCCTTTTGTCCATAAGTTTGCTGTTGCCCATTGTTTTTAATTTACTTTCCATTTTATTTTGCCTCATTTAGTATATTCTTTTGCCAATTCTTTTATGATGTTATTGAGTTCTACCAAGCACCTTTTTTTTTTGTGTGGTTACGATGGCTGAATTGTTTCTCCGAAGTTTATTATGGCAGTGTTATCCTTGAAAGTAACCAGTGGTCATAGATAGGAATAAGAAGAAAGTTGAGAAGTTTGAGTTTGAAAGGACAGAATCGCCTCTTAATGTTTGCAACAAACTGTGGAAGATGGCTTAGCTGTCGCATGAGTTGCTGTTTGTTCTACCTGTCATACTCATCATTCTTCAGGTGCACCTGCTTCATATTTCTCGGGTGAATGACAAAACCATGTATAGCAAAAATCAACAATTTGCTGCTCTGTGCAAGTCTTTTGAGGATTGAGTTATTTCTTTAGAGGCTTAGTAGTAGTAGTAGTTTCTGAATGTTATTATCCTAAGCACCAGAATATATGCTATGTGGTACAATCTCATGATTTCTCATGTAATATAAGCACAACAGGCTTATGTATATTTTTTCCTTTGGAATTATCTCTCCAGTATTCTTCTTTACAGGGGCCTGTTCCTTGTCTAGAACAAGCAACTCTCTGGGATCCAAGTTGTCATTTCTTGGCAATGATGCATATGGTGCAAGTAATATATAGATCCTAGTAGGGTTTCTGTTTTCCTTGCAGTGCAGACATGCATTGGACCTGTTGAGCTTTTGGTCTCTATCAAACCTAACATTCATTTGCATGGCTTTTCAAGTTGCTAAATTTAATGAACACATTTTGAAAGTCAACTCTGTTTTCTGCAGTTGCATTTAAGCATTCAAATGATAATTGTGGATGACCAAGAAGCAAGAAGAACTACACCTGCCATCGGTGAGTTTCGTGATTTGAATAAGTAAAATCTCGATTCTCTTTCTTTTCAGTTTTTGCAAATGGTAGCTGCGTTTTAAACATCAGTACAAAACAAAACCTAGATTGCTACTATTTCCTGTTTACATCGATTCATTGACATGAATGACAAAGGTGATGAATACATGACAACTGACAGGTGAACATTCTTCACTTCCAAGAAATAACAGTTGCAGGAAAATCAACTCTGCCCATGCTCAATTTCATTTGGATGCTGTCAGTAGGGAACCAAGAAAAACCAAGTAAACAAGAAAAAAACAACACAGTAAAAGAAAAACAAGATTCAAAGCTGGTAGTGGAAAAAGAATTGGTGCTGTAATTGTCAAGCTCATTGGAGTACAAGTAGCTATATTATTATTTACATGGGTGAGACTTATGGATCATAAACATACTGCCATCTGAAAGAATTATATGTATATATACATATACTTCAAACCACTACAGCAGTGGCAATACATCATTTGACCTGATTTTTTTTACACGATTCTGGAAGATAAAACAGTTGACGGTGTCCGAGAACATCCTTCCGAAGAAATACCTTCTGTCGCTGTCGTTTAAAGCATCACTAGATCCTTGTGGCAGAAGGTGAGGATTGAATGGGACATTAGAGAATATATGATCCAAATGAGTTGGCATTAATGACATAAAGTCTCTCCATTGTTAACCCATTGCACAAAGCTATCAGAAAATTCGCTTGCAGTGTTGGCTGTTTCAATGGTGTTGTAAGGCAGTTTTATGTCGATTTTTTCTCCCTGCAACAACCAAAAAAAAAATCAGATTATGTGCCCTCTGGACAGTGTTATAAGGAAATAGTATCTCGACTTTCTTTTGTCCCTGCAGTGAAAGCAAACATTAGGTAATTGACTTGAAACAGAAGGTTAAGAAATTTTTATCTCTTACAGTAATGAGCTTCTAATATGAAAGCAAAACTTATGATTTCATATAGCTTGCTTGATCTTAACAGATGAATAAAATAGTGACACCATTTAACTCCAAAATGCCATTTGGGTGCAATTGGTATTTCAGTTAGATACATGAAAGCATCAAGTGATTGACAATTAAACTGAGAATTGAATTATCACACACATACATCTAACATGATGATGTTAATTAAGATTATAAAATACAATAATACATATCAAAAAATAATTTGAGCTTCAATTCCAATCTGAAAGACAATAAAATACGAAACTGAAAAACCACATCATTAATCCATGAAATTTAGATACCCTCAATCGAAGAATCATGTGTTTTGGACGTTGTTGACTTCTGCATGAGATGTTCAATTATGAAGAATATCAACTGCATGAAGCAAGTAGCAAATCTGTTATTTGTTAAAAATAATATCACACTAAAATTAATCACATAAAATTTTTGTTCAGAGACCAATCGTGTTCGTTTTTTGAACTTTCCAAGTGTCAAGATCAAGATTATTTTTTAAATTCTCAAATTCCATGGCATACATTTGATCTAACATATGTATATGTGCCATTTCGAATATGCGTTCTTTTGTAGTGAATGCAGTACTGTGTTAGCAATGTGTTCACCGAAGGCGTATCTGCCTCAACTCTGTCGCTGTCGCTATGTCCAGTTTGTTCTTATGCCTTGTGTTTTTCATGTTTGCTGGGTCTAATTAAAGACCCAAGTTTTCACACAACTCAATTAATTAAGGTTTCTTTCACAGTTAACCAAAAAATCATACGGGCAGCTCTTCCTGATCGGTCATTTTTCAGTCAATCAAATCTGGATTCTGGATTAAGAAGAACACACCAAAGAAACTGATTCTAAGTCATTTCACAAGTAACGAACGGAATCTTGTACCTTTATGATAAACCGATTTTCTATGAGAAGTGTGGCTGCTTCATTAGTTCTGCCATTGGTGACATGTTTAGAAGGATGATTCTTGACTGCAGAGTTCAGTATTATGGACCTAAAAACACATAACAAAAATATCAAGGTCACAGAAAGTTTATTTGCATCGTAAGGAAAAATAGGTTGTGCAGAGACTAAAGCTTAGAAACAATATTTTGTCGGATGAATTGCATTGTTTAGCACACAAACAGACACATGAATGTATTAGAACCTTTAAATCATGGTCCTAATCAGCTTATCAGGTTCTGCATTGAACAAGCGGAGTCCATGATTACTTTTAGATATTTAAAATCGATGTTTCTGCCTAGGCTCGATATTGTGCCCATGATTACTTTTCCTTCATGAGGTTTCTTATCCTTTTCTTCTATGTTTGAACTTTTTCTTTTCTTGAAACATTCTTACCCCAACCACAAAGTGCATTGCTGTCTTTAGTTTTACATCTTTTTATGGGTTAAAATTGCATTAGGCTATTTAACGAAGCAATTATCTCCTGACATCATAGTTTGATAATCAATCAACTGTAGCTCTTTTTTCTTTTGTCAACTAATGCTTGGTTTCAAAAATATTATAATTTGCTTCCATCATTTAGGTTTCAGTTGGCAATTGTTCAGATTCTTGAGAATGGACGGTCTATAGTGGCTAGATGGTCAATATAAAAGTCAAGGAATTTTGCTGCCTTAATGTTCAAAATAATTAAAATATGCTTTGGCACAAAGGTATTTTTGTTACAAGGAATATGCCACAAAAAACATGCTGTCCAGCAAAACAAAGATGTTATGCAATCTAGGAATGAACCATTTAGGAAAACTACTAGCAGAAGAAACATCTCAACCTGCAACAAGGAGACAGAGGTAGGTATTACCTGTCATTTATTTCTCCCTCAAAAGAGTTACCAGAAGATAAAAGTGAATCAAGGCCCAGAAAATTTGACTGCCAATCTTTATACAAGTAACTATATGCACTATCTGCAAAAAGCTGCCCATGAGACAGCATGGAATTGTGCCTACAAAGATAGCCAAAAATAAGTATAGTTAGTATGGTGATGCAAATATTAACAATTCTCTTCCCCATACATCTCAAAGGGCTAATGCAAGGCAAGCTTGAATGCCAAATAAATAGATATGGCCACCAACCCCATTTCCTAACGAGATCATAGATATGAGCACACTAAATTCTCAGATCAATAACTCCACCAGCAAATAGTTACTAGAATGAATTTTAGGTAGAATGTAGTTTGCCATTTTTAATATGTTGTTATTAGATACAACAAAATAGAAAAAAACTATTTCCAAGGGAATCACATCAATTTTGACTATGCACACAATCAGAAATAAACTTAAAATGAGTAGCTAACCTGTGATGTGATACATCTGCATCACACTTGGAAATTTCTGTTGTTAAACTTGAATCAGATAAACACTCGACCTGCTCTTGATGTTCTCTTTCAGATAATGTTGAGCATGAGAGGTCTTTTTGGCCAAAACCACAGCTGGATAGAGGAGTACAGCTTTCATGGAGTATATTTCCATCTGATAGTGATCTTCTGATAAATGTCCTGTATAAACACCAATATTTAACATGGTAAAAGATAGCTGCAGCATATGGCAGATACAAAGATCAGGAGAACCATATATATCATTGGGATATCAACCGAAAAAATCATCAATTAAACAAACTTGTCTGATTCTTCTATCCCTCTGTTGTCAGACTCATACCTACTAAACTTAAAAGTCATGGAGCATATAGGAACAGAGTATGGAGAGAGGAAAAGAGATCAAACATATTTCAAAAGTACTAAAAGTGGAATGCAATCCATGATCTGATATAACACGTCAATAGGAACATGCAGCAAGGGCAAGTAAAATGTATAACGAGCATGCCTTCGGAAACAAAATCATATAATTAGTTAGAAGTCATGAAGTTTGAGAAAGCTAATAGCTAGTGTGATATTTCTTCCTGTTGCAACAATACATATATACAACACAGAAGGATAGCTGAAATAAAGTCTCGATGATGATGATTTGATTGAGGAAACCAAATACAGTACAGCCCATTATAACCAGATAAGTAGATGGAATTATGAAGATGAAAGTCTTAACTCAGTGAAGGTAAACAACCACATTCCAGTATAATGCACAAAATATGGCTAATAATACCTCGAATTTTCATCAGTAAAAGCATGGCCATTTTTCCCAAAACCATAATGCTGAAGTGAATTAAGCTCCCAAATCGCTGGTTCACCAAGTTGAGGTTGAAAGTGTCCCAGAAATCTGCATGTCATAACCGCAATAAGTTGGCATCTCTAGGCAGAACATTATACACTATTGTATTTTGCACAAAAATGGAGATCCTTTTGTACATAAATGTGAGATATAAAAATTTTCAATGGAAAAACTTATACATACAGATCTATTGCAGCCTGTTTTTCGACATCCATATAGGCATTGCTATAATATCTTTGAAGTGTTCTGAAGAACTCTTGAGATTGGGTTGCTGCTTTCCATTGACCTCTTCTTTCAGAGAAAATCTACCAAGTATTACAAATATGAACTATTAAACTTAAACCAGGAACTGCACATTATCGACAGTTAAAATAACAAACAGGTTAGATTAACAAAATATAACCTTTCTACAGGGAACTTCTAGTGGTATTAGTTTACGACATGTGCATCGAAAGAAATTTCTTGCACAACTGTCCAAATATATATATATTAGTACAAAAATTTAGAACCGTAATGGTTATATATCAGTTATGATATTGCAACTTCTTAACTAAAATCA